AGCTCCAAAATTCTTTGACTATATGAATACAGGAAGCCTTAGAGAGCAAAATCTGGGAATTAGAAATACAGCAATAGATCTTGATGTAAAGATACGTTACTAATCCTTTCTGTTTTCTAAAACAAGAACATATATATTTCTGGTGGAATAGTTTTTGGTCAAGCACTGTTTAAGTCTCAAACTCCTCCTATTTTTTTAACATTTATAGAGGAGAAAGGACTATGCTGCTGCTGCTAAGTCACGTAAGACATGTCCAACTCTGTGTGATCCCATAGATGAATCAAATCATAATAAAAAGAACTTTACAGGAAGAAGAAACAGTGAAAACTTATTTAACTCATGCCAAATAATCTTAAAGTCATTTCTAAAAGTAATTTTTGTAAAAATCAAAATCATGACAAAAGATAATCAACATAAGATATACCTATGTTTTGTAGAATTTCAACAAGTTTTTCTCTTTTTGAGTACTGGCCAACTTGAAGAATGGTCTGCTGAACATCTGTACATGCGCCACCCACTTGTCCAATGGCAACAAACAAATAATTTGACTTTAAAAACTTCCCAGCCAACCTTGAAAGACAAAAGAGTATTCCTTAACTTATTCTCTTCTATTAATACTAATAATATTCACTGAATTTCTGCAAGTGTTACTTCAACATTTATAAGCCAGATTATAACATTTATAAACCAGATTATAACAGTCATAATAAGAGATGGTAGATATTACATCATCCAAGTATTACTTTCAAATATCATTGTAAAATGTTAGCATTTTGCAAAACATTTATTACAAATGAAAAAGTCTGTGTCAAGTGATGGGTAAGTAATTTCAACTGGTAGCCCTGACCACACGAAACTATACAAAATGTGTATACAACAATAATAGAAAGTATGCTAAACTATCAGACTACAACAAGCAGGAATTTTTTAATTGAAGATAAAAGTGCAAACCTACAGCAAAAATTCTGTTCTTCATTCATCACCTTCATATATGTTATTTAAAAGAACTGTTCCCTGAAAATATGAGCTGTTAAATTAGTATACTCCAAATGAACTATAATATTCTGAGAAAACCGGATCTTAAGTCAATGCTTCTCACATCATGACATAGAAAATGATAATACCTGTAGAGCATAACTGGTGAAAAACATGAGACCAGGTGAACAGACTAGGGGCTAGGCCACACCAAGCTGCAGATGCTCTCCCCAAAGTTTGAGGGTTATCAGCATCCTGACACACACACGACTCACGGATAATATATCATGAAGAAGCCCTGCTTTAGATCACAGAAACATGGGGTGGGGAGAAGCGGAATTGCCAATTACAGAGCACATTTGGGAGGAAAAAAGAGGAGGTCATGGAGCAGCCCTTCTCTCTCCTACATAGCAATTTCTTACTTTCTAGTCATCTCCTAGCATATCAAGAAAATAGTTCAAACTCTGCAGATCTAGAATCTTAATAAATCACTGCTGCTTCTTTTTCATCTGCTCTCTTAGCATAAAAGAAAAGCTTCTTGTTCATACTCTACTTCTAGACTCAAGAACCCTTTCATCCAGGCACAAACCTTGACATTATCTGAAATTCGTAATTATCAATCATCCTTTACACTCATTAAAATATATACTGAGTGCCTCATGTGAGGTATATGTGGTATAAGGTACTGTGTGTATAAAGATGAATATCATGGTCTCTGCCTGTGTTGCTCATATCAAACAGCATAAATATAGCTATATAAAAGCAATTACTATAATTTAAAAATATTTTATCAAGGTTAATATTTACATATTTTAATTAATCAATGCTTTAAGTTACTGCTAAATAGTTAACATTGATTGAACCTTACTATATTACAAGAAAACTGCAAAGTGTTTTAAACAGTTTCTTTCAAAAGATAGAGGGTTCCTTTACAAGACGGGCAGGAAATGGATGAAATGATGTCTATTAATTCATGTCAGGAATTAATCTCTATTGATTCATGTCAATGTATGGCAAAAACCACTACAATACTGTAAAGTAAATAGCCTCCAACGAATAAAAATAAATGGAAAAAAATTAAAAAAAAGAAAAATTCCATTAAAAATATTTTTTTTAAAAAAAACCTCTTTAAAAGTTTTTTTTTTTTAAAAAAGAGTCTTCAAGTTTAAAGCTTGATCTAAGGAAGCAGCAAGCAAGAACATGAAATAGGGATGACTAAGGAAAAGCACTCTATGCAGAAGGAAAGAAGAAATAAGGATAAATAATGAAGAGGAACAGAATTTGGCTTGCGTAGCCAATAGGAAATACTCTATAAATAAACCAGAAAAACATTATTCCAAGGAATAAAGTGGCAAATGAGGCAAAAATTGTCACATATAAAAGTATTTAAAAGTTGGTTAGTCTATGGAAATGGAAAGACATGGGAGAATTTATTTTAAATAAATGGCGATAAAGATCAGACTTAGTTTTGCAATTTTAACAGCCCAAAAGTCAAACTACAGACATATTAGAAAGCTACTATCAATGAAGAGGGGAACTGAAAAGGACCTAAAATAAGGTGGTACATGGAGAAAAAACTAACAAATTTGCAATATTTTAGAGATAACTGCCAAGTTGAATACTTTTGAAGAGCAGAGTTAAAGGGATATGAGGGAGGATTCAACATGCTTCAAATGACTTTGGTTTCGAAAGACCTCGAAGCCAACAAGGAAAACTGGCAGGGAGGGGTCTCCCCGACTCCCTCTAACTCTCTTTCTGCCCTTTCCTCTGCAGTGATGCTACCCACAGTCTCAGCAGGCTGAGGATGTGCCCATGCCTCCTGATGCCAGGACACAGTTTCCCTCTGGGAGTCACAGCTGCCTCCACACGATGGAACTTGCCTGAGCACCTGCACAGGTGCCCGTAAGCTCCCCGGCAGCCATGAGCTTCATGAGAGGCAGGTATCAGACAAGTGACAGTAAGAGGACAAGGACAGTGGGAGTTTTCTTTATAAAATCCAGCTAGGATATGCACCTGCCTTCACCTCCACGGAGGATTCTGAGGTGTATGAATTCAAGTTCAGTGCAGTTTTTATAGCTTTGTGGCCTAACCACCTAGGAAACTGACCCATCAGTTGAAGTGTCCAACTGCCAGTTTCAAAGAATCCCATTAAAATCTTACCAGAAGACTGAGGGTGGTAATCAAAATGTGTTCAACTATATTCCCTGAGATTGAGTAGACTGTGTGTCAAACCAAATTCACTCATTTCCCATTTGGAAACTTTTTAGTGTATTTAGACTCAAGCAGAAAAACCAAGTGTCTACCTGTTCTGACCAAAGCACACTTTCTCAGATCCAGGAGATTAATTGGAGAGAAGATGAACTTCTAAAGGGCATGTCTGATTCCAGACTTTCCTCTCACTCATAACACACCGTCTACAGTCTGGCTGTTGCCACCACTCAGGTTCATTACCATCACCTCCCACAGAAGGAACCCAGCTTCCCAAGGCCCCAAACCACCCTGGCTCAGGCACCAACACTTGAGTGATCGTCTTGGAGCCCCACTGCCCTGCCCCATATTGCCTTGTTCTTTGGGACTAGGGGACGTCTCTCCACCTTCCTCCTGTGACTGTGGCTCCTAGACCATAGCTCTAGGTGTGGGGGTGTCCTGCTTCTCCTAGTGTCCCCACTGCTAACACAGGGCCTTCCACAGAGCAGAGGATCCGTGAAGTTCTGTGGAATAAATGAGCCAGTGAGAAGGGGGCTTATTAATCTCATCAATTTCCTCCTACTTTCTTAAATAATAACCTGGCAAAATCCAAGTAAACAGACATGGATTAGCTGTAGAAAAGGACAGACAAAACCTATAAGAAGCAAGAATTCACTACAATCGTTTTTTATTTTCCAATTCTTCCACCAGCTATATACTGCTAAGTAAGTTCACATATCCAAAATAGTTGTTAATTCCAATTCCATTTGATCTTGCTCAGGGTCGCAAAATAAAATGGGAGAGTTTCCAATCTCTTTTACAAAACAGCAAAAGTCTGGTCCTTTAACTGGTTAAGTACAAATACATGTGTGATCAACGTCATCCACAAAGTTAGATACTGAAGTTTATTAAGGCTTAAGCTGAAAAAACACATTTGAAAAATTCCTAAAAAACAGATATGAATTTCCATGTCATCACAGAGAAAATGAACACAAAGATGCTACACCCCGGGTTCCGCCAAGTGGCCCAGGCCATCACTACTGAGAAGGCTGACTGCTCCCTCTTCAATCACAGAGGCAAGGATCAGCTTTGCTACTTTTCTGGGTCAGGTCTCCTCTTCCCCCTCCCTCACAGCCTATGCAGACAGTGGTGGGAAGGCCCTGGAAAACCATTGGTTGTCTCTGAGCAGATACTCCATGACTTCCTACTTGCTGGTCTCTGCATAGGCCCAGGGGCTCTACAGGAACTCATATTGAGCGGGGTCGTTGTCAGGCACCTGCAGGTACTCCAGGTACCCCTCCTGCACCCACACTTGGGACAGCAGCTCCCTGGGCTCCCCAAAGACACAGTGCTCCCTCCTGACAAACATCCCCATTTGCTGAGTGCTCCCAGACCTCCTCCTCAGGGGCACGGTCTCCATTCCACATGATCAGGCTGAGGACCAGCACCAGGAGGCTGGCCTTGGGCAGGCCCTGCCCACTGCTCAGCATCGCATCACAGGTGAGGCCCAGGGTGGGGACCATGATATAGATGTGCTCCGTGGGGTCCACCTCCTTCACCTTCATGCCACAGACCAGCTGCAGGCACTTTGAGGCTTGGCTGAAGTCCACCGGGAAATGCTCCTGGTTATCCCTGAGGACCTTCTTCAGCATTTCCGCCTGGGAGGTCAGCTCCTTGGCTGGATATTTGAGGAGCCGGAACTTCATCAGGTTCCTGCCACATCACATTAAAAGCTTCCTGGTGCAAGGCCTCCACAAGGGTGGAGCAGGAGACTGAGGGGACAAGGCTGAGGGGGATGCAGCCTCTCCTGCCTCAGCCCCCAAGAGCTCTGCCTCTACTGGGCCCTGGGCCTTGCCTGGGTCCTGAAGGTCTTCCTCGGGCTTGCTCAGCTCACTCATCTCAACCATGAGTGCGATGCCTGGGATCAAACTACAGACAGAAGTGAGGCAGGGGGAGAGATGGGGACCACCCCTCTGGGGGAGAGTGGGGGTGTGAGCAGCCTCAGCTGAGAAACGCACCCTGGGCGGTCTGACACAGGCCACTTACAGTTCTCCCCTTGAGGGGTGCTCTCAGACCTCACAGGAGCATGCCTCCGGAGTGGCCAGTCCCCTGGCTACCTGAAGGAGGAAGTGAGGTTGTAAGGTATAGTTCACGCCGAGGCAGAAAAGCAGAGATGACCTCAATGGAAATAGGTTACCTTTATTCAGGCAAGGAGGGGCGACAGTCGGCCTAACAACTAGGCTGAGCTCCAAGAGGGATCAGCGAGGCTCCATATTTATAAGGAGGTTTTTGGAAACAATAAGGGAAACGTTAATCAGGCGGGATATTTTGGGTATTCTTTAGTTGAGATGGCATTTGTAGTTGGGCAGGGGGTGATAAGTCTTCTGGGCAGGTGTAGGGGGTGGAAGGTTTCTGGACAGGGGGTGATAAGTTCCAGATAGATAAAACTAGCCTGGAGCATCAGGGTGGGTGGGACCTAAAGTTCAGTTTTGTTTTCTCTGAAGTTAGATGATTCAGCAAGGACCTTTGAGACTGTTGCTTTCTTTTCTAGGCCCAAAGACTCCTTCATTCCAGACCCTGAAATCATTAAAGAATGGGGAAAAGAGCACTGTATCTCTCTGGCTACTTCTTTCTGGATAGGGGTGATGGTTTTGGGTCTGGAATGGAGGATCATCCTAGGGCCCAGAGTCTTCTTTTTCTGAGCTTGGGGTGAGGCTCTCGAGAAGAAGAATGGTCTTGACCTGATCTCAAGAGATGGCCTGAATCCATTCTTGGAGAAACCTTTGAAAGAGACTGAAGAGACAGGGTCCAAATAAGAGGAATAAAATGATAAGTATCAATGGTCCCAGGAAAGGGAGCAACCAAGGGAATGCCTGTTGGAACAGGTTTTGGGGACTGTAAAGATTTTGTAACTCTTTTTTGTGGCATTCAATTCTGTTTCTAAGTTCTTTGACTTTGCCCTGGACTATGCCCATTTCATTAACAAAATAGCAGCAGTCCTCTCCTAGGAAAAGGCAGGTCCCTTCCTTTTCTGTGGTGAGAAGGTCCAGGGCTCACCTATTTTGTAGGGCCACAGAAGCTAATGAGTTAATTTGTCTTTGGACTGAAATGAAGGACTCCACTACCTGCTCCATGTCCTCACTGAGTTCTTGGGACAGTTTGTAGAAGAAATGGGCAGAGGTCGAGATGCCCTCAATCCCAGTGCCTAGGGCTGCTGCTATGCCAGTCCCAATCAGGAGGGGGGCTATGACAGCTTGTTTTTTTTTCTGTGGGAAAGTTCCCCTTCGGGGTAGACTATTTGTTCTACCTCTTCTTCTTTGAGGAATGTTAGACCCGGGGTCAGGAAGGCCAAGATGCAAGGTCCAGGGGGGTCCATAGGTCCTGCAGAGAATGAAGATTCCCGAATTGGTGCAATTATTTGTGCTGTTTCAGAGAACCCAAGTGGAACAGAAGGAGGGAGCAGAGTTTGTAAGCCCAGTGTAGTTGGGACTAGAGTAGTTAATACAGGTTAGGTTTGAAGAGGCTGAGAGTAGGACATTGTCAGAGACTGGCCCAATGAGTTGTGTAGTTTTCTGTTGGGAAGGGGAGGTATAGTTGCCCTGTAACAGCCAGGTTGAAGGTAAGGGAATTGCTATGTGTGGTGAGGGAGACAGTGACATGCATATCCAAGACTGTGATGTGTGTTGTGTGTATTGGAAGAATTGGAAAGAAGAGTTGAGAAGGTGGGTAAGGTATTGGTTGCCAGAGGGAGGTTTTAGGGGAGGCCATAATTGGGAAAGGAGATCTAGGCGTTTATAAGGTTCAGGGGTTATCTGTAACTGGGAAATTATGTTCTTTATGACTTGTTCTTGTTTATTTTCCCAATTTTGATCACCCCACCCCCATCTGAGTACCCCCAGTGGGTAATGGGGTAGAAACATATGTTTCTTCCATTTGGCTTATGGCAGGTACTCATGAAACTCCCTCTCTTTTGTACTTTAACAGTGAGTAGGGTTTTTCCAGTGGTCATGTATGGCTGTGAGAGTTGGACTGTGAAGAAAGCTGAGCGCCAAAAAATTGATGCTTTTGAACTATGGTGTTGGAGAGTCCCTTGGACTGCAAGGAGATCCAACCAGTCCATCCTAAAGGAGATAAGTCCTGGGTGTTCATTGGAAGGACTGGTGCTGAAGCTGAAACTCCAATACTTTGGCCACCTCATGCGAAGAGTTGACTCATTGGAAAAGACCCTGATGCTGGGAGGGATTGGGGGCAGGAGGAGAAGGGGATGACAGAGGATGAGATGGCTGGATGGCATCACCAACTCGATGGGCATGAGTTTGAGTAAACTCCGGGAGTTGGTGATAGACAGGGAGGCCTGGCGTGCTGCGATTCATGGGGTCGCAAAGAGTCGGACACGAGTGAGCGACTGAACTGAACTGAACTGAGGGATTTGGACCCCCACCCCCACCCCGCTAAGGTTCATGGTGCATGGTCTTGGAGTCATATTATTACATGAGGAATGTACATAGGAATAAATGTCTGAGCAGGGGCAGGGAGTAGCCAGAAGACTGGGGAGTGCAGCAAGGATAAGGAATGGGGGAGTCATGGGGCTGTTAGTTAGGCAGTGCGGAGGAAATAGCACCCTAGGAGTAGAACACAGATAGCAACATAGGCGATACCAATGGAAAGACGAAGGATAGGTGACCAGTCTTGAAGGGAGACAGTTACGAGGCCTATAACAAGGACTAAGATTAAGAGTGCAGTTATAGTTAGACGGGGAGAGGCCAGTCAGGGTGAGGGGCAGAAGGCCCCAAGTTGGTGGTGGTTTGAATCTGAGGAGGAACAGTGTTCATTAGGGTGTAGAATGATGTAGAGAATGAGAGTAAAGAAATCAATTTCATCTGGAGTCAGGTTGTAGAAGGTTCCCTGAAGCCACAGTTGAGACACCAGTGTGGTCAGGTCTTTGAAGGAGGTTCCTGTCAGACCGCTGGTCCAGAGGTCTTGTAGTAGTTGGGTCAGGAACAGTTGTAGGTTGAAGAGTGTCCAGGTCATTCAGTGTCTTCTTGGATGGTTGACAGAGGTTGTTGCCGGGTGAATTTTAAGGAGGTAGGTACTGTGAGGGAGACCTGATAGGTGTCAGTTAAGGAGGGCAGCGCAGGATCAGAGGTGACCCGTTTTAGGCGAGAGGGGTGTACCCAGGAGGTGACTTTCTCCGGTTTAGCTGCAGTTGGGGTAAGGAGGATGATTTTGAATGGTCCCTGCCACTTTGGGGTTAGGTGACCCTATCAGACAGACCACATCCCCAGTTTGTAAAAGGGGTAAGGAGGCTTGGGGGTCAGGGGCAGGCAAGTTGTGGTTGATGTATTTCCAGAGGGCGTTGCAGGGTTCCGCCAGCAGAGGGGAGTGTAGGAAGCTTGGTATGGGAGGAGGTTCATGGTGGAGTCCAGAAGGGAGCATGGGCCTTCTGAACATCACCTCAAAGGGACTCAGCCCCAGGGGCTTTCTGGGCAAAGCCTGTACTCTGAGGCGAACAATCGGTAAAAGTTTAGTCCAATCCAGATGTAACTTGAGGGTTAGTTTGGTAAGGGTTTCTTTGATTATTCTGTTCATTCTTTCTACCTTTCCTGAGGACTGGGGATGATATGGAATGTGAAACTTCCACGGTATCTCTAAGAACTGGACAAGTTGTTGGGTGACCTTAGACATAAATGCCAGGCCACTATCAGACTAGAGGGATGAAGGCAGGCCAAACATGGGGATAATTTCGGTGAGGAGGATTTGGGCCACGGTGTGAGCTCTTTTGTATGAAGTGGGAAATGCTTCTACCCATCCCAAAAAGGTGTCCACAAGGACCAGGAGGTATCTGACTTTCCAAACTGGGGCATATGAGTAAAGTCTATTTGCCAATCCTGTGCTGGGAGGCTGCCTCGCATTTCATGGGTTGGAAAGGATGTTGGTTTAAGGTTGGAATTGGGATTAGTACGTTGACATGCTTGACAGGAGTGGGTAAGGTTATCTAAATATTGCTGATCAGCAGTGGACATGGGAAAGTGGTTCCAGAGGAACTGTTGGAGTGTTTTGGACAAGGAATGAAAAAGTGAGTGTAGATAAAAGAGGATTTCTCTGGTGGTGGGAGGGTTGGATGGAGTCAGAGCTAAGATGACAGGGGACTGGAGGGAAGGATGGGACAGGGCTATCTCCTTTGCCTTCTGGTCTGCACACTGTTCTAGGCTGATATGAGACTTCCTTTTTGGTGTCCCCTACAGTGGAGGATGGTGGCTTTGTTTGGTAAGGATGCTGCCTCTAGAAGTTTGTGGATCAGGTCTGAATTAATAATGGGGGATCCCTTTTGGGTTAGGAAACCTCTTTCTCTCCATATTAGGATGTTTGAGTGAAGTATGTTATAGGCATATTTGGAGTCTATGTGGATGTTAACCCTCAGATTTTTAGCCAGAGTCAAAGCTCTGGTGAGAGCTATCAGTTCTGCCTGTTGGGAGGTGGTGTGAGGTGGCAGAGGTGAAGCTTCAATTGTCTGGGTCCCGTGATTGTGACGAAGGTCCCCCTGGATGGTGGCATATCCTGCCTCAAAGGGTGGGGATTTTTGAAAGCTGCCATCAACGAACCAGTGTGGGCTGTCTGGGTCTAGGATGGGCTGATCTGTTAAATATTGGAAGGGGTTTTGGGCAGGATCTACTGTTAGGCTGCAGCTATGTAGGAGGGGGTCTGTTGTAGAGGATATGGGTAATAAGCTGGCAGGGTTAAGGGGAGAGCAGGGGGAGAATGAGAGCCAAGGGTCGAGAAGAAAACCATGAAGGATCTGTACCCTGGAAGAGGGAAGGGAGAGGAGAGCCCGTTGTGATAGTAAGTCGCGGAAGGTGTGTGGAGAACAGACTGTTAAAGGGGCATGTCTAGAGTGTTTATTTGCTTTGGGTTTGAGGGCTGCGATAGCAGCCATGGCCTGTATACAGGGAGGCCACCCCTTAGTCACCATGTCAAGTTGTTTTGATAGATAGGCTATGGGAGCCCAGCTGTCTCCGGCCCGCTGACATAGAAGCCCCAGGGCCTGTCCTTGTTTGGAATGTGCAAAGAGAAAGAATGGTCTGGTGTGATGCTCAAATTCATGTCCACTGAGTCAGTGATGCCATTCAACCACCCCCTCCTCTGTCATCCCCTTCTCCTCCTGCCCTCAATCTTTCCCAGCATCAGGGTATTTTCAAATAAGTCGGCTCTTTGCATCAGGTGGCCAAAGTATTGGAGCTTCAGGATCAGCATCAGTCCTTCCAATGAATATTCAGGATTGATTTTCTTTATAATTGACTGGTTTGATCTCCTTGCTATCCAAGGGACTCTCAAGAGTCTTGTCCAGCACCACAGTTTGAAAGGATCAATTCTTTGGGACTCCGCGTTCTTTATGGTCCAATTCTAACATCTGTACATGACTACTGGAAAAAAAATAGCTTTGACTAGATGGCCCTTTGTTGCAAAGTGATGTCTCTGCTTTGTCATACACCATCTAGGTCTGTCACAGCTTTTCTCCCAAGGAGCAAGTGTCGTTTAATTTCATGGCTGCAGTCACTGTCTGCAGTGATTTTGGAACACAAGAAAATAAAGTCTGTCACTGTTTCCATTTTTTTGCCATCTATTTGCCATGAAGCGATGGGACTGGATGCCATGATTTTAGTTTTTGGAATGTTGAGTTTTAAGCCTCATCTCCCTACTTCCCTCTTTTCCTGGGTGCTACCCAATACTGCATCTTCCACTATGCTCTTCAATGGACAACCAGGACTGGTTCCCATAACTCTAGTCCTGACCTTTCTGAGTTCCAAATTCATGTCTCCAGGTGTTTCCTGAATATTTTTGCACCCTTCTGTCCTCAAACTCAGTGTGTTCAAAATTATGTCATCTCTCCTTCCATGTATTTTACTCAGCTTCCTAAAAGTATCATCACTTTTCCATTAACTTCACAGCTTCGGTTACCTGACTCCTCCTCTACCTTTACCTAGTCCTACTGGTTTTTAAACAATTCTTTATGTTCCTTTTTCCTGTGGTCCCCCAAAACACCACCAGAAACTAGGTTTTCATCACCCTCTCAAACTAGATTTTCATCCATCTCCCCATCTCCAACTCATCTTCTTTCTTAAATGTCTACATCGTGTTAATCTGTTATTCAAAAATCTCTTACTTTTCTTTATTAAATCCCACAACTAGAGTAAACATCCTCCACCTGCTCACAGCCTGACTGCTTCCAATGCTGATTCAAGTCCACTCTCTTCAACCAAGCTCTCTGTTAATGTTCTTGGATTTACTATCTACACACTATGATTTTTGCTGCTCAACTGTCAGATGTTTTATAAGCTAGCCTTTTAATGTGCCTATCTTCCTGGTATGGCTGTAGGAACCACATCTTACATGTTCACTGCTTCTGAAACTTACCTAATAACTATATTACATTATTTTAAAAATGAGGCCCAGTGATAAGAAGAGTATGACTAAGAAGTAGAAAATCCTGAGTTTAAATCCTGGCTCTGTTCCTTTTTAGGTGGGTGACCTTTGGCAAGTTACTTAACTTCTAGAAGCTTTCACATCTATAAAACAGAGATAATGCCACCTATTTCACAAGGCTCTAATGAAATGTAATGTGTACATGGGTATGTATACACACACATACAAACACACCATGTCTAACACAGTATTTGGTACATAGTGAGTGGGTTTTTTTTTTAAATAGATGGCTATTAGTGACTTTCACCCCATAGGTACTCCTCTTTGGTCAATATTTTAAACTGCAAGTGAAGTGAAGTGTCAGCCACTCAGTTGTATCTGACTCTTTCCAACCTCATGGACTGTAGCCTGCCAGGCTCCTCTGTCTGTGGGATTTCTCAGGCAAGAATACTGGAGTGTGTTGCCATTCCCTTCTCCTGGGGATCATCCTGACCCAGGGATCGAACTCTGGTCTCCTCATTGCAGGCAGATTCTTTACTGTCTGAGCAAACTAGGGAAGCCCTTTAAACTGCAAAGGTCATGTTAAATATTTTTTTGTAACACGCTGTCAAGATTCCGTTGCATGTGAAGTTTTATACTACTCATCACTATATTTAGCCAAAAATTACTTTTCTAAGCTACATTCTAGAAGAGTAAGAAAGATAACTTTTAACTTTTAAGCTGTGCCCAGATGCCAAAACTTGGGGTGTGAAACTATACAATCAGTTTCATTTCACATACATAACCCAATCCAGCATGATTTTCAGCAACCACCATTTCTTAAATACAGTTAAAGAAGCACTCAAGAATCTTTGGGAAGGCTAGAGTTTGTAAGATAGGATTGCTACAGCCTGTCAACAACCAGAGCTTAATGATTAGTGACCATGAGCAGCTTCTCTGGGAAGAAGGGGATAAGCTTCTCCTCAACCAACAGGTTAATTACTGACTCTAATTAATGGCTTTAAAAGACATAATGAAAATGCTGTAATCCAGTACATTAAAACCTGAAGAATGGATCTTCTGTTGGTTGAGGTGATCTTTTTTTTTTTATTCCTAATGAAACATACAGTCCTTTCTCCTTTGTGCAGTAGGTCACAGCTTTCGCTAGGTTAAGTCATACAGTATTTTTTTTTAAAGTACTTCTCTAAGGTTCCAGAAACTTTCCATCAACAGTATCTGTAATCTTGCAGGAGAGGCTGCCTGGAGCAGAGCAAGTTAATGCCACTGTCTCCTTTTGTCCTGACTTGGGCCTCCCACAATGACGAGCAGCCACAGGGCAAGTGTCTCTCTACATCACTACCCACAGTACCTCCTTTCCAAGACCCCTCAGTATTTCTGCACTCCTGGGCAGGGAAATCGCATGACCTTATTGCAGAAATTAGACAAGCAAGAATTTCATCACTGCTCTCTTCTGAGTCTTCAATTTTCTGATGAGATCTTTGAAAAACAAAGGATAAATTACACTTTAGCTTTAGCTGCTCAAATTTATTCACTGAGTTATGGGGAATACAGGGTAAATAGTAGCATTATTGCTTCATATGTTAGTGAAAGTAACCTATGTGAGTAACATGGGGACAATAATACCATAGGAACACAACTTGTGACAGGCCAACAATTTCTTCAAAATCAATCAGCAAGAACCTCTTTCCCACACATCAATTAAATCCTGAGGACTGTTACTGTTCTTCAAATGAATTGAAGAATAATCCTGACACATCAAGTTTTCTAACAGAGAATAAGCAGAGGGTGAATATAATGTGGTTAAGTATTGAAATTCCTGGTCAATCTAAAGTAAATCCAGATTCTGAAAATAAGAAACATGAATTTTCTGCTATATCTGAGTTCCAGCCAAAACAAATTTATAAGGAAGTAGTCTATTATAAGTTTTTCCTGTGGCAGGTATTGTATGGATCAAACTAGCAGAAGCACTTTGCTCTGTTTTATGAGACCACAGCCCAGTTGAGAAGAAAACTATGCATGTGTTAAATAACTAGGGAGACAAACAACATTTACACAGTGTGATATCAGTTTGTTCAGAAAAATCACCTTCCTAATGTAATTCATGAAAAATTTTCACCATACAAATGTACATTGCTAACCCATAAAATCTACTTCAAACAAACCTTATAAAAATTACATTTCTTTTTGCTGACTTGGTCAAAGGGAAAAACACTGACTAATGCCAACTGAATATATGGAATGGTCTCCCAGATCTATTTCCACAAGCAATTCCTTTCAGCACCTTCTGTAGACTGGGAGGGGGTTGGTGGTAATTGCTCTGCAGATCAGCACCACGGCACCACAGTCCACTGATGGATTTCAATCTCAGAAACTGCAGTGGGCCAGCCTAAGCACAAGCCTTGTGGAGCAGAAGGGCTTCTCCTGGATCCTAAGAAAGCTAGGAAGAGGCTCTTTGAGAAAGGAAAAGCAGTCGGATCAGTTCTGACACTGGCTTCTAGTTTCTGTAAATGTTACTAAACCCTTTCAAAGGAAAAATGTCCCACCCTTCAGGTCAGAGGAATGAATTACTAACTACCACCTTTACAAAAACTGCATGTCACAGGTATGGAGCAGTGTGGGCATGCTGTCCAGTAACTTAATTCTTGGTGCAGCAAAGCCTCTGAAACATGACCTTGATAATGAACATTTCAAAGAATAAGCCTTATTATTTTTTTAAGCTCTATTATTAAAATGACCTACTTACAAGGTTTCCATGCACATGAAATGACACTGAGAAGAGACTGGAAACCTTTATAACCTAAGTCACCAAAGCAGGTTTATAAGATTATGCTGGGGCGACAGAACAGATCTGAGAGGAAATTAGGAGCTGAGAACGTTAGACACAAGAGCAACACCAAGGATTTTCAAGGCCCTGTCGTTGTCTGTGGTGAAGTGTGCCTGGTGGTGTCGTCTCTTGCTCAGCCCCCAGCAGACACCTGAGAGCCGTCTTCCAGCCCATTTCCCATTTTTATCCCCTCAATTACCACAATCTATACTCAGAACTCTCAAGTCTTTCTCTAGTCGCTGAATCTTCCCTGAGATCACCCTGTGCTTCCATCTGTCTTCAATATGGCTCTAGGTGGTAATCTCAGAATACTGTTTTCACTCACATAGGGATCTTACAAGGCCCTCAGACTCAACATAACTTCCGGTGACCTTCTCCTGGCTCCTGCCCTCCGTGGTACACCAGCGCCTCTCACCACTCGGCTTCACATCACCCTGTGGCCGTTCCATCTTTCCAGTCACCACATCCTCCTCTACTCTGCTTTCCTCCCCACAAGCCTCTGGGAGGCTCTCACCTCCACAACATACTTTAACCAGCTTCTAACCAGCTTGTCTCTGCTTCTCCTCTAGTATCTTATCTTCTGTTGATGCCAGGGTTCTCCTTCTACAACCACGATCTGGTCCTGCTCTTCTCCAGACCCACACCTTCAGGGACTCTCCCACTGCCTACCTGAAAATTCAGAAGACTTCCTGTCTGCTGAGGAGCCCCAGGTCCACCCTGCTCCCACAAGGACCTGCATGGCACCTGGCGCAGAGGAGTGATGTGGGAGACAGGCAAATGGTGAGGAGCATGAGAAGGGGGATGGAAGAGAGAAGGGCGATGCTCCCCCACTCGGCTTCCCTCCTCGTCACTAGTGCCCCTGCCCAGCTTGATGCCAAAAGGCCCAGAAATACCAGACTCCTTTTCCCTAGTAAATGTATTTTTGCAAAATAAGATAAATTCTATTTGTTTTACAAAGTAAATGCCCATCTGTGCAACCTAGTGACAGTAAAGTTCTCATATATCGGATCAAAACAGAGGATGAACAGAAGGGGCATGGGAGAATAAAGAAAGAACCACCTGTAACATGAATAAAGGAAGAAATACCTATACCGAGGGAAAGCTGTACTTGCATCTTAAGGGCACTGTGCTACTCAGTAAACAAGGGAGGAAAAGAGAAACTCTGGAGAGAGAGGACAACAGAGAAACCCTGGTTGGACTCAGCAGTAATGGCAGTGACAAGGTGATGAAAGAAAGAGAAAAGGAAGTGACCCTTAGAAGGGAGACCCATCCCTAAGGGTCTGTGCCAGCAGAAAGCTCTGACCCAACTGGAGTCCCTTTTTTGATTTCCTAAGGCCACTTCTCAAGGTCCCTGCCTGGCAAGAGTGCAAGCCTGATCCCATGATCCTCCAAGGGAAATGGCGAATCCTAGTGCTCTGGGCAATACAATACAATGGGAAAGACTAGAGATTTCTTCAAGAAGATTGGAGATATAAAGGGAACATTACATGCTAGGATGGGCACGATAAAGGATAGATACGGTAAGGACCTAACAGAAGCAGAATAGATTAAAAAGAGGTAGCAAGAGGACATGGAAGCAATCTATATGTCCAACCAACCTAGATGGACAGATGAATAAATTAAGTAGTCGCAGTACATATATACAATGGAAATCAACCCTGAATATTCACTGAAGGACTGATGCTAAAGCTGAAGCTCCAATACTTTGGCTACCTGATGTGAAAAGCCAACTCATTGAAAAAGACGCTGCTGCTGGGAAAGATGGAAGGCAAAAGAAGAAGGGGGCAGTGGAGGATGAGACGGTTAGATGTCATCACTGACTCAATGGACATGAGTTTGAGCAAACTCCAGGAGATAGTGAATAACAGGGAAGCCTGTGCTGCAGTCCATGGCACCGCAAAGACTCGAACATGACTTAGTGACTGAACAACAACAAAAGTGCTATGGGCAGATGTCTCTGTAAGTTTGAGAGGTCTACAATAACTGAGAGTGCCGTTGTCAGGACACAGGAATGGCAAAAGTCAGTGCTCCTCTACCCTTGTCCCTCTAACCATCCAACAGGACACATTATCATTCCATTCAATCCACACTAAAAACAAAACAAATGCCTGCCCTCTCTGCAGGCTTCTCTACCTTAATTACAGGTAACTCCACCCTCCTAGTTAGAAGTCACCTTTGATCACTTCCTCCTTATGGTCTCTTCACTGTATCCATCCCCGAATACTATCAGCTCCGTCTTTGAGGCATCTCTCCCTTTGGAACATTCTCTCCACCTCTACTCCAACCGCTGCTGCCCAAGCCATAAGATCTCTTACCTACAGCCAGAGTGGTCTTGTTAGCATGGAAGTTAGATCATGGTCCTCCTCTGCTCAAAACCCTCAAATGACTCCCCAACATTCTTGGAATGAAGTCAAAGTCTCCACAGTGCTGCCATCTCCCGCTCTCTTTAGTACAGACTTGGCGACAGTTTCCAACCTGGATAACTATTTGAAAATTATCTACACAATTCACACTGCAGCAGAGAAGAAGTGGAAAATTCCCCACCCCAAGAGATCTCCCAACACAAACTGTCAGCTTTGACAGGGCTAAACAGTCAGTGGTGTCGAGTTTCAACAATAAGCCTTAGGTAGCAGTGAACGAGAGACATTACCTGGATAACAGAATTTGTTTTACATCAGTTAGGTTTAGCACAATTTCTAGAAACTTGAGTTTAACTGATAACCCTACAGAGGTTTCCAGAACACTCTTAGTGAAAATTCCTTCATGAGAATTAGTGTAATGGGTTTCCAATTAAGTCTTTTCAAATGAAGTTTTTCAAAATGAAGCTACCATAAACCTTCCATGTAAGAGATAAAACCCACATACTTTACTGAGGTTTTCACCAAAATACTTGTGCCTCAAGGTTCAAGTGCAACCAGTATCATCTTGGAGTTGGAAAACTCTACTTTCTTTTCAACAGTGGAAGAGGTTTCCTGGAATTTCAGGATGTAAAGCTGAAAGTATTTCTTACAGAAATATTTCCTAATAATACCACTTTACATTTGTATATTGCTGCTCCTGCTGTTAAGTCACTTTAGTCATGTCCGGCTCTGTGCGACCCACACAAGTCCTATCTATATCTATCTCAATATTACATAGCATGTTCACTGAGCTGCCAGGAGCTACCAGTCCACACATAACACGGTTCCTAGAGGAAAATGTGTTAAATGCATCCAACAGCCATAAATAGGCAAAGGTTTGGAGTCTAGTGGTTCAAGAGGTGTAGACCATGAATAATTGGCACATGCTAATCCGGTAGAGGTGTCACGCATGACCTTCCATGCACACGTGAGCCAGCACTATCTTGGACATGGATGTGTTGCACCCCACAGAGGACGCTAACAATGTAGACATGGCCTCAGTCAGTTTCTATGTTAAGTTGCCATGAGTGCTGCCCCAGGGCCTGTCATTAGCTTCTGAGTGCTTCTTTTTTTTTTTTTTCTTAACTAATATGTAAGATTGTCTCCCCAATTAATTTTAATTTTTTCATTTATTTTTATTAGTTGGAGGCTAATTACTTTACAATATTGTAGTGATTTTTGTCATGCATTGACATGAATCAGCCATGGATTTACATGTGTTCCCCATCCTGAAACCCCCTCCCACCTCCCTC